TTACGTTATGAAAAAAATATAAATATATATATATATGATATGTTTTTTCGCATTATTTATGTATTAATACTATAAATATTTTGCGATAAAAACATATATATCATATATATATATATTTATATTGTTTTTAATAAGTAAGATAAAAAGAGATTTTGTAATTAAATATATATATTTACGTCACAAGGTACATTATTACATTTATATAGAATGATTTACGTAAGATAATGTATTATCTTAGAAATACATTATCTGTAAGTATATTATATTATGTTAAATTGTTTTATCGTAACTCTCAAAACCAATTACTCTTAGAAAGTGCATGAACCAATGGCAAAACAGGAGCCCTTCACTTGAGGATAGGACGTGTGTGCGCGAGGGGAGAGGCGGGGAGGATAACCCAGGCCTCGCTTCGCGGGGACGAGGCCCCTTGGAAGGGTCGATCTCTCGCCCGGTCTCTTTGGGCAGTCTTGGGCCTCTCTTGTGTCACAAGGAGGCGTGTCTAGGCGGCGACGTCGACGACGTGTGTGACCCCTCTCTCCCACTTCCCGAGATGGGAACTTAAATGATTGTTGCCTTTTAGTTGTTGACTCTTACTCAGGTCTCGTCTCTCGACTTTTCTTCGCTTTTAGAGTTTTCCCTTTACTACATTGCGGTTCAACGTTCTTAAGAATGACGACCACTTCTTCTGAAAATGGACGAAAACTAGTACTACTTTTGTAAAAAAAATGGCGAATTTGACAACAATGGCTCAATCGCCGTTGGAAAAGGAATGTGGTCAACTCTTGACTTGGCAAATCTAATAAATACTTTATGAGGTCTCTGTGCACTACCCTTCGATCTTCGCTTTCTTACTGTTCGTGAGTCGTGGAGTATGGTCCGTGACGCGTCACGTCTCACTGTCTTTGTGGTTTTCCTGGTGGTTGTACTTCGAAATGTGTTGAAATAAACTTCTAACACACGATATTTATTGTGTACACGGTGTAAAGTTTACATTTGGGTTCACTTGAGTTCACGTCGGGCTTGGACCTGTTGGGCAAATACTCGCAGTACGTTCCCAACAGACCTATGACGAACAGTATGTTTTTTTGTCAGGGTATCTGTCTTCGGTAGGGGAAAAAAGAATTTTTAGTACGGAGGGGACTGCTCTCGTGTCCGATGAAACGCTTGACCACACATACGCTCCCTTGTTGTTGTGCTCGGTGCCAAAGGGGTTGCCTGTCAAGTGCCAGAAAGGCTCCGAAATCTATATCATCAGACACAAATAATAATTTACGAATGTATTATTTATTTATTTGAAAGTAGTTTACACGGTGGAGTGTCTCACTTGAAGAATACATGTCGATAACATAGTATGCGCTAGCTTAGAGTTGTGGTCAGTCCTAACCTAACCCACCCCCACTCAGGCAGGGTTTTCGTGCCTCCTTACGAGTCTTTCGGACCGTGTGCAGACTAAAGACGCCGCTGTCGCTCGGACAAATGTGACCTGCGTTTGTTTTTTCTTTTTGTAGGTGGCACCTCTTATCGAATAGTGTAGCTACCTCCTATATAGGGAGGAATGGCTAGGGGCCTTCGAGTCTCCGGGAAAATTGGTCTGAGTGGGGGTGTCTAAAGTCTACAACAGGGGAGGGAAAGAGGGAGTTTCGAGTCCTGTGTCTCTTCGTAACCACAGGTGGGAGCGACGTTTCCCTGCGTAAGGTGGTCGTTGCGGTACTGAAAGGTAGTCGATTATAGTTTCCTCTAGTGTAAGTTGGTTTGGTCTCTCTCTTTTTACTGTTATACGGACCCTAAAACATTAATTTAATATATTAAATGCAGTGTTCTATGTAATAATGTAATATATTTACTAAATGCATTTATTACATAATAGATCTTTATGTAATAAATTCATATAATATAATACAATTTAAAATAGCATTTGGGTTTTGGTTAATGAAATCTTTCACTGTACTTGGTTACCGTTTTGTCCTCGGGAGTGAACCTCTATCCTGCACACACGCGCTCCCCTCTCCGCCCTCCTATTGGTCCGGAGGAAGCGCCCCTGCTCCGGGGAACCTCCCAGCTGAGAGCGGGCAGAGAACCCGTCAGAACCCGGAGAGAACACAGTGTTCCTCCGCACAGATCCGCCTGCAGCTGCTGCACACACTGGGGAAGAGGGTGAAGGGCTTACCCTTTAATTACTAACATGAAAATCAACAACTGAGACATGATCCAGAGCAGAGGGCTGAAAGAAGCTAAAATCTCAAAAGGGAAATGATGTAAGCAAGTGCAAGAATTCTTACTGCTGTGAAGAAGACTTTTACCTGCTTTTGATCATGATGAAAACATTTTTTTACCTTTAAACTTTGTTACCGTTAGCGGCAACCTTTTCTTACACCAGTTGAGAACTGAACGTTTGATTATTTATGAAAATACTTCAGAGACAGTGATGGGAGCCTAGAAGGAAAATGACACACTCACACCTCATACAGGCACTGCAGTGCAGAGTGAAGAAAACCAAAGGACACACATGAAGCTTTACACAACTTTATTGAAGATTGTGTATAAATACACATGCACATTTCAAATGTAAACCCAAGTGAACTCAAGTGCAGCCAAACCTGGAAACCCCGTTATGTCGTCATGCAAGGTTGTCTGGATACTTTTTCATACAAAAAAACAGTCCCATAACAGAACCATCCTTTTTCTTAAAAATATCCCCTCCCTGACGAGAGCACAGGCTAGACTTTGCAAACTGGTGTGTATGCGAGGACACACACGAGCCACGGTTCCCCAACGACAGTTCAGGTCTTTCCGAGGCTTTAGATATATTGTCTGTTTATTATTAAATGCTTACATATAAATAAATAAACTTTATCAAATGTGCACTCACAGAGTGAACTCTTATGTACAGTATTGTATAATAGCGATCGAATCTCACACAGTCAGGATGGGATTGGGGGGGTGAGTCGTCCAAAAAGCACGGAGATGCTCAGAAAGGCCTGGCACACGTCTGATATTCTGCGGCGACAGCAGGTGTTTACACTGGAGCAACAAAAAGAAAACACTCCACCGTGGAGAATAGCTTATCACATCGATGGAGGAATATCCCGCCTTTACCGATCCCGGAAGCTCAGAGGCCTTTTAGGCAGACTCACCCCACAGATTTCAGATTTGTCCCCCTCCCTTTCTCCCTCAAAGCTCAGGACCACAGAGAAGCATTGTGTCCCCCTCTGCAAAGGGACGCATTCAGCAGAACCCATGATTTCATACAGCTAATATCAAAGGAGATCACATTCAACCAAACCAAGAGAGAGAAAAATGACATATCTGGCCCTGTAGATAATCAAAAAGGCATCAAATGCATTACATCTGGTCATTTCATTATTTCATTCAGCATACATTCTGGCCCTCTTGTGGGTTTCAAGAAGCAGCGCGAGATGACGTTATGGAGCGGACATTCGAGTGTTGGTGTGTGAGGGGATGGTGATGTGCAAAGAAAAAGGCGACGGGTCTGAGATTAAGAGTTAAGGCCGAGGTGATCCCAACAAGAGATGATCCATCTGATGTGAGTGGAACCACTGATGTTTCCTAATCTCACAGCGCCTCCGAGATGAAGAGAGCAGAGGCGTGGTAAAGCTTCAAAACAACACCTGGGGATACATTTAAAGCGGGAGAATAGAAGCGGACACTTGCTGTGCTTAAGACAGAGTGAGACAGTATGTTACTGATTCATATTCGCAGGTCAAATGTGCAAAAATCTGTCTCTTGGATAACTTGTCATTATTATATAAAGGAGACAAAAGCAGGACCTTAATTTGCTTAAGTTCATGCCGACGCAGAAGTAACCTGTGTTAAAATGCACAGCAGTAGCAGCAAAAGCAGCACAAAGTGTGGCTGTTCGACACGTTTAAAAAAACAACGATGTTCCTAAAGTCCACACTGTACACGCGTCTCACCTTCCGGATCACTGAAGGCAGATGATCCTGTGAGTCAGCGTTGTTGTTAAACAGCTGCAGCGTGTCTGGCGATAATATGTGTAAAAAAAAAGAAAGAAAAGAAACATGGATGGTTGGTGATTGTGCAAGTTCAAAACGTGTCAGCGCATCGTGAAAAACCCCGATATAATTCAGTGTTTAAAATATTTACATGATCTAAATGATAATAAAATGATATGCCAACAATGCATTGCTCTCAAAAAAATGATATAAAAATAACACAAAAAGCAGATTAAGAGTCCGTCCCTCATGTCGCTCACTGACTCTTATTCTGCTAACCCTTAAACGAATGGACGTGGCGTCACACTCACACACACTTTACACACACACACACACACACAGTGATCTGACCACAGAGGAGGGCCCTGATTTCTTAAGAGTTGCGTAACCCGGCAGCTCCCTGACCGAACAGCTGCCCCACCCCCCCCGCCTGTGGAGGGGGCGGAGTCTGAGCCGCTGGTGGCGCCCGCTGCCATGCTGTGTGTCCATATGGCTTTGGATGGAAAGATCCTAGTCTCTCTCTCTCTCTATTTATTTTTGTCCCTCGTTTGCCTCAGTTGGTTTTCATGGTGACGTCTCGATTTGGCGCCGGCTTCTTCTCCTCCTCCTCCTCCTCTTCCTCACCATTTCCCTGCTCGTTATCGTTCTTCCTGTGGCGGTTCTCGTTCAGGTCCTCCTCGTCGTTCTGAGGGGCAGGGGCAGAGGCAGAGGCAGAGGCAGAGGCAGAGGACGAGGCAACCTGAGAGGAGGAGGCGGCCTTTCTCTCCTCGCCTTCCTTCTCCTCGCCTTCCTTTTCCTCATCTTCTCCTTCCTCCTCCTCCTCTTCCTCGTTTACCTCTTCCTCCTCCTCCTCCTCCTCGTCTACCTCGCGGTCGAGAGAGAAGTAGCCGGTGCCCTTCACCGTGTCCTGCCGCTGGTAGAACAGCACGTAGCCTGCTTTGGACTGAAAGAAAACACCAGATAAATAGACTTAGCTATCTGCACAAATAACTCATTTCTACTTCAACCAGCTTGACTGTGCATTTTCTGATCCTGATGAGTCAACTGGACGATGCTGCATTAATGAGAGCCTGCCTAAATGTTTGTGGATGAACCTACTGTCGGCAAATATGTTATTTTCACCACTAAGAAAGAACTACACTGAACAAAAATATAAACGCAACACTTTTGTTTTTGCTCCCATTTTTCATGAGATGAACTCAAAGATCTAAAAAAAAAATTCTACATACTAACCATTTCTCTCAAATATTGTTCACAAATGTGAAAAAATCTGTGATAGTGAGCACTTCTCCTTTGCCGAGATAATCCATCCCACCTCACAGGTGTGGCATATCAAGATGCTTAGGGTTAGGGTTAGGGTAATGTTGTGAATCGAGTGACCCATGGTGGTGGTGGGGTTATGGTATGGGCAGGCGTATGTTATGGACGACGAACACAGGCCACTCGATTCACAACATTACCCTAACCCTAACCCTAACCCTAACCCTGACCCTAACCCTAATCCTAACCCTCACACCAGATACTGACTGGTTTTCGGACCCCCCCAGGCCCCCCCAAATAAAGCAAAACTGCATGTTTCAGAGTGGCCTTTTATTGTGGCCAGCCTAAGGCACACCTGTGCAATAATCATGCTGTCTAATCAGCATCTTGATATGCCACACCTGTGAGGTGGGATGGATTATCTCGGCAAAGGAGAAGTGCTCACTATCACTGTATGTAGTGTATAGTGTATGTCCTCCTCCCGAGTAACATGTATCGCCTTATCATTTTAGCCTTTGCAGACCATTTCCATGCAACAGAAAACGATGTAAAACACTACATGAAAGGGGAGTCTATGAAAAGCTATTATCTATTATTTCTTCATGTCTTGATAAAAACCTGCATTAGAAAACAGACACCTCATATTTAATGTAAAAGTAGCACAATCACACTCTTTGCCACTATCTACAGTCTTTCAGAAAATGATACAAGTAACAAATATTTAATAAACAAGCAGTTATTTACAATGATTTCTGTGGAACACAATTCAACCATTATGTCAAATTGTGTTTAAAGACGCATTGTCATTCTTTTCCAAAAACCAAAGGTGGAAATGCAGCAGATGTAGTGGAATCATCAGTGTGTAGTGAGGTGGAAAAGCCTCGACCAACACATCCTAATGAGACTTCAGTGTTTTGTTTCCATGTGCCAATTACTGTATATCAAGAGCTGTCCAGGAGCAGCAACCGCTACAGACCCGCGCAGTTCCTTGTTAGTGCTGTTTCCACACAGTTGGATGTCTTTGATATATCAGCAATGTAATCATTAATCCCAATTAGTGACAACCTCAGAAGTGCACTGCTTTGATTAAATTCTAGTTTGTGTCCAGCTGAAGTGCCTCAGATGAATTCACACAAGGACCGCTGCCAACGAGGACACTCACCACTATTTGATCTTCGCTGGCAGGAGACACGCTGCTGTCGTCGAAGTTGTACCACTTCTCGTCGTCTTTGTTCTTGCCGTAAGCCGTGTCTGAGCCAAGACAGGAATAGACATTAGTTTGCCTTTAACATGTGTATCATTCTGTACTTACACACCACTTACACCTGCATTTCTAATTCAAAGTACCATTCAGTACAATATGGTTGCTGTTTCTTGATACATTTTTTGCCATTTTGTTTTAGGAACACCCAAACAGAGATGCTAGTGAGGGGCCTTGTTGTGAGTAAACAAACCCATACAAAGTCTAAATGTGCCATTTGAACACTTAAAAAAGTAATAGATTACAGTTATTAAAGTACAATACAGTATGGTAAATCTACTTCAGTGCCCGTCAAAACTACTGGGGACCCAAGCATTGGTTGGCTATAATTACAATAACATATCATTTTAGACTCGACAGAGAAATCTAATCTAATGTAGTTAAAAAATAACTTTAAAGTGCAGCAATCTCCAGTTATTGGAGTGATATTTACAGGTTGCTTCAGTCCCTAATGAGTCAGGAATATGAGAAATGCTATATTTGCAGAGCATGTTTCTGGACCGTGCTGCATCGAGGCAGTGTGTGAAGGTACACGCTAATAAAAGTGAACCATTAGGCAGTCATGCTGTGTGCTGGATCTTACAGTGCCCTCCCCCCATCCCTCCGTAGTGGTTGGACACAGCGATGAGGTCGTAGAGGCAGGGCCCGGAGTTGGGGTTGATCAGGAACTCTGACATGTCCAGGTCTCTGCAGGAAACACATCACAGTGTACCGTCAGTGGTCATGTGACATGCAATGACTAAATATACGCTGTGGGGGCAGAACCCCTTTGGATGAAGCTTATTTTTACTGAATCAGATCGTGGGACGTGTTTCTAATTACGCTCTTAGGGTGCAGGGGTGTATAGTGGGGCAGGGATGATGAATTGTATAGGCCAACCGGAACATTTTGCAGTGGGGTATTTACTGACTTATTTTATGTCGGAGAACTAAATGTGAAAATGTCTTCGGCTTGTGTTTAATGACAAATGATCCCGTTAGCGCTAAAATGCTAACTCACTTCCGGGCTAAGACTCATTCCTATTGGTGCATTAGTGTAGGATTGGATGAACGTTGTTTTATTGCCTGTTGTGTGCGTACTTGAGAGGAAAATCCACCAGGGAGTCCAGCTTGTCCCTCATGTAGCGGCTGTAGGAGAAGCGCTTCAGATGGACCACCAGCACCGGGGGCAGACTCCACAGGTCCAGCTTCTTGGTGGCCTGCTGGTGCTCTTTACAGTCCGGACAGTACCTACGGGACAGGAGGGCATTGGATGTGGAGCAGATGCAGTGGACCTCATTTGTTTGGCTGTGTACTGATTGTAAGGATGTTTTGAATGTGTGGCGTTCCTCACCATGGGTCCTCTGCTCCCAGTTTCTCCTTGGTGGTGAAAAGTTCGATGCAGTCCTTCAGCTTGAAGTAAGCCTTCTTCTGAGGCTTGTACTCCATGCTCTCGTGCTTTTCAAAGTCCTGTAAACACACATGCAGCTGTTAAGAAAACCTGCCATACCGTTAAACACGACGGCAGACTGAACTTCTTCTACACTGCACGCTCTGCTGCATTAACACGGTAACGTTCGATATCTGTATCGGAGAACGTCTTCTGATATTGGCTTTACCTCGACGACGCTCTCGTCAAAGTACTTCTTCCTCATCTCTGGATCCCAGTCCAAGGAGAGATAAGAGCGGTCTGTGAAGAATGAAAGTGGACAGAATTCACAAGTAAGACGAGGAGAATCATCATCTTTCAGGATGTTGTTTCACCCCTGCATCTACAGGGTCATTATCTCTGGTGATAATGATTAATGGATGTGCTGCAAATATCCATGCGTTGTTAAATATCAATCGTTGTCACAGTAACCCTGCATAAATAACAGATTGGAAGTATAGGGTTTATTTTCCTCCCAATATGAGTTCTTTATCCCCTGCCCCCCCGCCTACCGCTGAGTCGGAGGTGTCCCTCGTCGAAGCGGATCTGCCGGGTGTCCTCCTTGATGAGGGAGAAGTCTGTTTTTCCCATGTTGTTGAACTGGAATGTGAATAGTCTCTTCCTGTTGTTCCCCGCCGTCTGCTGGGCCTTGGTGGAGTTTGGCGGAGCGACCACGCCGTTCTCCAGCTCGTTGTCCACCGAGTCCTCTGATTGGCTGTTGTCGTTCTCGGAGGGCAGCTCCTGATCCTGACTCGACTCGTCGTCCTGCTCGTCGGTCTCCATCTCGCCTGAGGGAGGACGGAGATCGTTGTAAAGCACCGAGGATGTTTCCAGTGGTGGAATGTAACAAAGTAGATTTACTCAAGTAAAAAAATGTAGGTACTTTTACTTTACTTGAGAATTTTCACATTATGCTACTATTCTATACTTTTACTCCACTACATGTTATAGGCTAATGCTAATTTCATTTATTTTACAGATGTAACAACTAAATACTTGAGGGTTTAGATTATTAATACAAAATATAAATCAACATATAAAATATTAGATATTTGTATAGGTTCAAATGTAAACCACATAAACCCCAGATTTGCCAAGTGCAACGCTGAAGTGATTAACACATTCATCAATCAATTGTTTTTAAAGTATTCTGGCTTCAAATGAGGGTACTCACTGGGCGACCCCTCCTCCAGAACTCCGTTAGTGGTGTTGCCGTTGACAGCGTGTTGTTTTGACGGCTGCGTCTCCTCACAATCCTCCTCTTCCTCCTCTACTGAAGATCGCACAAATCGGCTGCAAGCACAAAATAAGAATCAGAATTCCTTTATTAGCCCCAAAGCAGGGAAATGTACAGCGTTACAGCAAAAAGTGGTTTAGCAGGTAAAAAAAAAAAGGTATACAATAAAAAAGAATAAGCTAACTTATTAAATATAGAGAAGAAAAGCACACGAGTAATAATTGGATTGTAGACGGTGAGCTTGTGCCAATTGGCGATGGGATCAACCAATGAAGGCATGATGGATGATTGCTGCTCACCAAAACGTTGCTCTTTGCTCCAATAGAGTAGTTAACATGGTGGTTATGATTTGGATTGAGATATAACAAGATAAATCAATATTATACTTATAAATATATACATTTTTTTTACTGAGGTTCTTAAATGAAGCGTCTGTCATCATATTTTATGACATCACCCAAAAAAAAAGGGGCAAATATGATTTTGTGTTATTGTGGTTATATAATTGTGATTTATGGGGTTATAAAATAGACCTCTAATATTAGACCACCAAAATAAAAAATTAAATCAATGTATGGGAAACACTGATATAACATAAGACAGGGGTTCCCAAAGAGTGGGGGTCGCGAGATGATTACAAAATAAAAATGGAAAATAAAAAATAAAAAAATTATAACATTGTTTTTTATAAAAAAAATGTTTTCAATTATTATTAATAATAACATTTGCATAGACATTTTTTTCTTTGTCAGTCCACTAGCGCAGTGTTTCTCAAAGTTTTTATTTTATTTTTCTGAAATTAATTTTTTTTCTGAAATTATTTGCGACCCCCCCCCCGT